GGGGTGCGATACACGGCGGAGGGGAATTGCAGACCGTTACCATGGCAACAGGGAGGCAGAGGCCATGTGCCACCCCAGGGGGGTGGCCCGGCCCTGTGTCCCTGCCCCATTCCCCCGGCTGAGTCCCTGTCCTCATCCTGCAGCATTGTGCACCTGTGCCTGCGCAAGGCTGACCAGAAGCTGGTGATCCTGAAGCAGATCCCGGTGGAGCAGATGAGCAAGGATGAGCGGCTGGCCGCGCAGAACGAGTGCCAGGTCCTCAAGCTGCTCAGCCACCCCAACGTCATTGAGTACTATGAGAACTTCCTGGAGGACAAGGCACTCATGATTGCCATGGAGTACGCCCCAGGTGGGTCCTGATCTTCCCCAGTGCCTGCAGCTGGTTCCTTGAGATGCCAAGCCCTCCACTCTTCTTGGTTTGAGCTGCTGTGGCCCTGTGTTGTGCTCCTTGTAAAGATTCTGCACCTTGGACCCCCGAAGAGTCCAAACATGTCTGTCTTGAGCAGACATAACCATTAAAGCTTTTTGCAGAAAAGGATCTGGGTGTCCTGGTGGAGGCCAAGTTGACCATAAGCCAAGTGAATGAGCACTGGCATAGGTTGTAGAGAGGTTGTGCAGTCACCATCATCGGAGATATTCAAAAGACAGGTTGTGGTCCTGGGCAACCAGCTCTAAGTGGCCTTGCTTGAGCAGGGGGTTGGACCAAAGGACCTCTCCAGGTCCCTTCCAACTCAGCTGGTGCATGATTCTGTGATGATATGCCTTACACTTGCTAATCATGTCAGAAACAGAGATTTCTAACTCTTATGTCGCTGTTAAGTGTGATACCATCTGCCCTTGACTTAGGTTTCACATACATTTCCCTGTGTCAGCTTTTGGCCACGTTGTTGGTCCCACAGTTCTGTGTGGGAAGGCGTGATTCCTAACGAGATTTGCTGTGGAGTTTAAGGTTAAATCAAGATTTGCATAAGAGTTTGTTCAAAGTTGCATGTGAGCCCTGCACCTGGACCTCCCCTTCTCGACAGGGGCCTCTCAGTGCCACGTGGCCTCTTGGACTGCAAGAATTCTCTTTTGCAGAACAGGCTTATCTTGTTCTGCCATCGAGCTTTGTGTCCTCCTCCTCCAGGAGCTGTAATTTTAGCGTTTCTTTTCCTGCTGCATTTGACAATATGTCAACAGTAACTTCTCTCTTGCCGTTTCTTCGTTGCACCAACTATGCTGCTGTTCTCCACACAGTTTCAGGAGCATCGGAGGACGTGCTGCGTATCCCACCACAACATGCTCTTTGCCATGTGCTTGGCTTCTTAAGATGCCGTGGCTAAATTCCCCTGTTTTTTAGCCCAGGATCGCGCTGCCCTGTGCAGCCACCCTTGCCGATAGCCCGTTGTCATTCTTTGCAGGGGGCACGCTCGCAGAGTTTATTCATAAGCGCTGTAACTCCTTGCTGGATGAGGATACCATCCTGCACTTCTTCGTGCAGATCCTCCTGGCTCTTCACCATGTGCACACCAAGCAGATCCTGCACCGCGACCTGAAGACTCAGAACATCCTCTTGGATAAACATCGCATGATCGTCAAGATCGGAGACTTTGGTATCTCCAAAATCTTGAGCAGCAAGAGTAAAGCCTACACGGTGAGTGGGTTTGCAGGGGAGCTACTTACCATGATGGCAGCGGGCTGGAAACTCTGGCCTTGGCTCACGGTAGTCTCAGGGAAGCGGCTGTAGGCAGCGAGGTTGGATGTAGCATACTTGCAGTAGGCCACATCCATGTGCCACACTGCTGCTTTGCTCTTTGGGGTTTATACAGGCTGATGTCTTCATGCCCAAGTTTGTTGCAGCTCTGTGGGCTGCAAAAAGGTGAGAAAGACCTATGTGCCCAAGCCTGGAAGGGAATGGGGTGTCTGGTGAGGGTAAACAGGGTTCCTGCCACTGTCACAGTGGGAGGGGTGGTGTTTGCAGGCTCGTCTGACACATACTTGGCAACTGAATTCCTGCCTGTGCCCTGCCTTGTCTTAACCTCTCTCTGCTTGAGACTTGAGTGTCATCCCCACCTGGTCTAATCCGACCAGACGTTTATGTCACGCTTGTTGCTCTGGGCTCTGACTCTCTCAAGTGGATAGGAGCAAAATTAGAGGTAATCTCTGTACGTGCAAGGGAGGTCACCAGAAAGGCAAATCCTCCTGTTTTTTACTGAGGTTGTCAGGCGGATGTTGACACCAGAGAACAAATGCCCAGTTCCACTAAGCTTTGGCTGGTCATGCTCTAGCCAGCCTGTGCACTGGGCTTTAAACTGAGCCTTTCTCTTTCCACCTCCCTGCCCCCATTCCACAGCATCATGGTAAATGTCTTTGTCTCTTCTAGGTTGTGGGAACTCCGTGCTACATCTCCCCGGAGCTCTGTGAAGGGAAGCCCTACAACCAGAAAAGTGATATCTGGGCTTTGGGCTGTGTGCTGTACGAACTCGCCAGCCTCAAGAGAGCTTTCGAAGCTGCGGTAAGAGGGATATGGTTTACGCCTGGTGCAGGGAGCCGTGGCCTCTTACAGAGGTGAAAATGCATGCTTGGCTCGCTCTTCTCACTGAGCCTGGAGGTGTGAAGGCAGAGGGTAGTGCTGAGAATTTCTTGCTCCTTGGCCTCACCTCTGACTGCCCAGCCACTGTATGTCTCTCTCTCTCTCGTCTTCTCTCCAGAATCTTCCTGCCTTAGTATTGAAGATCATGAGCGGGACGTTTGCCCCAATATCAGATAGATACAGCCCCGACCTGCGCCAGCTCATCCTCAGCATGCTGAACCTGGATCCTTCCAAGCGGCCCCAGCTGAATGAGATCATGGCCCAGGCCATCTGCATTCGGCCCCTTCTGAACCTCTACACTGATGTGGGCAGTGTCAAAATGAGAAGGCAAGTGGTCCTGTGACCTTAGTGTCCCTTGGGAGGGGCTGCCACAGCCCACGACATGTCTGACCAGCTCGCTGTCTCCGTTACGAGCTCCGAAGAGAGCGTTGCCCCCGTGCAGCTCTTCCGTGTTACCCAACGTGCAGCTGCTGTGGGCTGAGCCTGGCCCAGTGGCCTGGGGCCACGGCAGGTGCCATGGCAGGCGTGAGCTTGTCATCGCAGTAGCAGTGAATAGAGAGTTGTGAGCTCTGGGGGAAGCAAACTGATGCCAACTTCCCTCTCTCAGATGGTTTAAAGCACCCACTGAGGCAATTCCGTGAGCTATTCACCTGTGGCTTATGCTGTAGCTCTGCCCAGACCTGTGGTTCAGGGCTCTGCAGGACCTCTGGGGCCAAGATGGCACTAAGGACTGGGTTTTGGTTTGGCAGGCCTGAAAAACCCATGGCTCCAGTGCCCACAGTGACCCACAGCCGGACGGGGGGACTAGTGACCAGTGCCAGGCCGAGGGGTGAGTCTTGGCACGGTGTGTTCCACACAGTTCCATTCGGAAGGACCCTTTCCTTTGAATGACAGAGGGTCAAAGAGGCACTTAAGCTTCCGGAGAGAAGACATTAAGAGACGTAACCAGCCTTGGACTGGTGCTGGTCTGGCCCGGCTAGCTGGCAGGCAGCTCTGCTGACACCCAGACTGGCTGGTGTCGTTTCTTTTCCTGTGGGAGGACAGTCAGGGCTCTGCGTCGATGATTTCTCTTTGACACACAGGTCTTCGAGGTGGTTCAGCCAGGACAGGAATCCCTCCTCCGCTGTCGTCCATCTACACCTGGGGGAGCGGGATCACCACCCCCCTCCGCCTGCCCATGCTTAACACCGAAGTGGTGCAGGTGTCTGCTGGCAGGACGCAGAAGGCTGGGGTCACCAAATCGGGGCGGCTCATCATGTGGGAGGTGAGTGACGGGGAACCTGGGGCAGGCAGTGGCCCTGGAAGCCTCGGATGTGCAATTTCTGAGGAGGAGACGTTTCTGCTCACTGCGTAGGCTCTGGCACTGCGTGCCCCAGGACCACTGTCCAGTCCAGGGTGTGGGTAACACTGCTGAGCCTGTGGGAAGGGGCTCATCTGAGTTCTCCGACCCAGCTCTTGCTGCACAGAGGTGCAGCAGCCCACATGGCTTCTCTCCTCCAGGCTCCCCCAATGGGTGCTGCGGGAGGACCTTCTCTCCCAGGAGCCACTGAGCAGCTCCAGCCTCAGTTTGTGTCCCGCTTTCTGGAGGGCCAGTCTGGTGTGACCATCAAACACGTGTCCTGCGGTGATCTTTTCACGGCCTGCCTCACAGGTGAGCTGCTGCCTCCTGCCTTCACCCAGCTGACTCCCAGACCTCTGCGTGGCAGCTGGCTTGCAAACGCAGCGTGACTGCCTGGGGACCTGCTCGGAGAGCGACCCGAGAGCTGCACTGGGCTGGGGTGACACAAAGACCTCCGTGGCCTCTTGTGTAACATCAGGTGGAGGTCAGAAATGGCAGACACAGTCCTCCTGTGATGCCACACTGGTCAACTTGGTCCCAAACGTCTGTGTGGTGTGAGGAGGGCCACAAATTTGTGTTTCTGGCTGCCAGAACTGGCCTGTACAGCAGGGACTGCAGTGTGAGGAGTGTCTGGGAAGTTCAGCCTTTCTCTGTCACACACTGTGAGTGTGACACAGACGCAAACAGTGACCAGTCGTTTGTGAGAGGTCAGCGTGTGCTCCTGCAGGGCTGGTTGTCAGCCACAGGAAGGCAGGGTCTGAACCCCCTTGGAGTGGGCCAGGAGGTATTCTGGCTGGAAAGGGAGCACACGCACCAGCCCAAGGCTGTATTTGTGGAGCAAAACCCTCCCAATGATCCTTTGGGAGCCTTGTTTGTACTTCTGCTGGGGATCAGGGCTGCAAACAACAGATATGCAACCGGCAAACTTCGTAGGCATGTGTTTGTCCTACCTCTCCTTGGTGTTTCCTGCCACCCCTCTGCTGGGCGGCTGCTCCGTGAGTGCCTCTGTGTATTTAACACCTTGGCAGACCGTGGAATTAGCAGCTCCTGCGTACACAGCTGCAATAATGTTATCTCAGCGCTCTCCTGTCATCTGCTGTTTGTTTGGCGAGTTGTCGCAGCATGTTGAGGCTGCTGCTCGCGCTCTGGAAGCTTGCTGAACGCCTCTGGCCCCCCCAGCAAGTTATGAGTCAGAGTGGGTCCGGGCAGAGCCGCTGTCCGGGGAGACACAACCAGCCACACAGGCTGTGTGCGCCTTGCGGGGCATCACGTGTGCCAGTAACACGACTTCTTTCTGCTTTTCCAGACAGGGGGATAATCATGACTTTCGGCAGTGGCAGCAATGGCTGTTTGGGGCACGGAAACTTCACGGACGTAAGCCAGGTTTGTCGTGAGGGTGCTGGGCATGCCGCTCCCCCGGGGTAGAGGATGGATCATGCTTTCTGCGCCACGTGAGAGGGCTCATCCCAGCTCCAGGGATGTGCATCCCAGGCGTGCTCTGGCATCTGACCCTCTCCCCCTCCTCTCGCTGTCACTGCGAGTTTTAAAAGACCCAACCTGCCTCTCTCTTTCTTTCTCCCCCCCTGCACAATGATCCCTTTGAGCGTGGGGGAAATCAAGAGCTGCCTTGTGGTTGCTGTTGGCAGGCACCCAGCTTGGAGCCTGCCTGCAATCACACACCTGCCTGCCTCGCTCTTGGCCTGCAGCTGCCAGGGTTCACTGGGAAAAGTTATTTTTCAAAAGAGCCAGTATTTAAAGAAGAGCTGTGTGTTTCCGATTGGCTCCCCCCCACCAGGG